ATGCAGCTTGATACAACATTTGTAAAGATGGGGAGAAGGATTGAAACATTTTAAGATATAAAAATGCTGGTCAAAAGATAGTAAATTATATATGGCCTGCTGCAAGAAATGAAAATGGTTGTGGATAATAGCAAGCTTCTGCCCACTTGGTTATATGGAAGTGAGAGAAAAGCATGTCTCAGAGAAGCTTAAAAGTACCATGGAGTCCTCTGAGCTTGGTTGTTTGCTTGCAGACGTTTCATTACCAAACTAGGTATCATCATCAGTGTTAGTGAGTGTGGGGTTTGCTACCTGTTTGTATGCACTAGCTTGCCCTGCCAGTTTTGGTGGGGGTGTGGTTTTCTCCTTGGAGGTTCCTTGATTATTTTATGCCTAATTGTTTGTCTGATGTTGATGCTACAGATATTCTCATCTGTTGAAAAGTATCTTGAATGCAGTGAATACAGAGTACTTACAAAATACTTGTCATAAAACAAGAAGAGATAGTGTTAAGAATGAATGGGTGATAAACAAATGTGGAGTGAATACAAAAGTGAGTGACCATTACAAAAACGGTAGGCTGAGATGGTTTCATCATACAGAGAGTATGAAGGAAATGAATGAATGAAATCCAAATTGCAAAAAAGGAAGAGTGAATGGGTCAAGAGGAAGGGCAAAACTAAGATAGTCATGGTTGAATTATGAGATCATAAAAAAGAGACGAGAAGTTTAAAGAACAAATGGAAGTAATGTCTGGATATGGTAAAAGAAAGGATAGATTGCAAAGAGAAGAGAAGAGAAGAGAAGAGAAGAGAAGAGAAGAGAAGAGAAGAGAAGAGAAGAGAAGAGAAGAGAAGACTTTATTGGCCAAGTATGAGACGTACAAGGAATTTGACTTCGGTGCAAAAAAATCTCTTGGTGTTTGCATAGCACCAGAAAATAAGGAATAATAAAAAGTAATAACAGTATATACTAAAACTATGCAATCAGAAGAGGAGAATTGGAGGAAGAATACTACTACGGCTATTGACTAACATATATTCATTTTTAAAAGGAGAAGCTATTGTCTAGCATGTATTGACATGTAACAGAGCATTATCAGTCACGTCTTGGCAATCATATCTTATCATGCAATGCCAGTCAGTTTGTCATGCTGCATTAATTAGGTGTTAGAAAGGTATGGTATTTTTATAATACATGGTGTGGATGTAAACTAATTTACTGTAGCTGTATCTTCTTTCCTTTATCATATACTGCTAATTTCTTTGCCTTATTACAGTATTTCATAAGCCTTTTCTATGTATTGCATAGCGTTGCTTGTCCTGAAAGGAAATATAGTTACGATATGTATGCATGTATTTAATTTACATTTAAGTTTACTTACATTTAATTAATAAGATTACTCTTCAGTGATGTATTTAATAGCTTTTCCCTTCAGTCATTTTAAAAATTGTGATTTGATTGCTATTGGTGATCTCTGGGGTGCCCCAAAGCTTTCAGGGGTCTGCACACTGTCCTGGAGTCTCACGGACTACTGAATATTTTTACCAGATACTACAATGGCAGTGTTGGCTGAGGAAGGCCCTGAGTTGGTACCACATTTATGGAGGCCATCTCCCTATCCTTTCTTAACCTGAACCTCTTTCCCCTGCTTGGGTTCATTATTATTAAGAGTAAAACAGACCATCCTGCTTATCATCTCCATCTCCTTTACTAAAATCCATTCCTTCAGTTATTAGAAAGCTCCAAATTTTGAGAAGAGTAGGTGACTCTAAATTTCTTTGCAATCTTCACTCTCTGCCAAGAAAAACAGGTGTTAAATTTGGTGCTGCCTAGTTCATTTTAGGCAGGTGTGATTAGCAGGGAGAGGTATAGTATGGCTCTCAGAAGAACTTCACGAGGCCAAAAGCTTAACTTCAAAAAGCAGCTGCAATACAGTTCTAGCTTCTAGTAGCTCTAGTAGCTCTTTCTTGCAGTCTGCTGCTTGGGGAGGGGAGGAAAATGATTAGATTTGTCAAAGAGAGGATGAAAACAAATGAGAGAGAAAAAAGGGAGGTCAGAACAGTGTGTGCAGACATGGTTACTAAAATTAGGTTTGTAACAGCAGAGACAGAAACTCTGGATTTTGGGAACTATCATGGCAAAATGTCACAGGTGAGTTCCCTCATCCTATTACATTCTTACTGAATTTATTCACTTGCTCCCAGTGAGCCTAGTCAGCCCAAGTGTCCAAAGGGAGATTACAAGGCAGGTAAGGAGGGAACTCACCTGGAGGGAAGCAAAAAGAGTAAGCAGTAAATTCAAGAGAATTTGGAAATCCACAAGAGGCCAGTGGGGGCCTAGCCATCCCAACCCTTAAGGTGTCCCACCCAAAAGCACTTGCAAGACAATTCAATCTGTCAAAATATTAAACATCACACATGAGAGTGCATTGTGAGTGGGAGAAATATATGCAAGGAAGGAAACTGGCTGAACTGCATGAACATCTAGAGACTCACAGAAAACAATATATAGCTTCTAATGCATGCTAACATTTGGGGGCAAGGCTTAAACCAAAGCACCAAGAGCAGTAGAGATGTTTGCTACCATCGAAGTAGCCTCAAGCTATTGCTGCAGAAAATAAAAGTACAGTGGTACCTCTAGTTACGAACTTAATCCGTTCCGTGACTCTGGTTGCAACTCGAGTTGGTCTCAAGTCGAGGTAAAGTTTCCCATAAGGTTCAATGTAAATACAGTTAATCCGTTCCGCCCTCCGAATTTGGTCGCACCATGAGGCAAATTTCCCCATAAGGTTAAATGTAAATACGGCTAATCCGCCCTCCAAATTTGGTCGCACCCCGAGGTAAATTTCCCCCATTAAGGTTCAATGTAAATACAGTTAATCCGTTCCGCCCTCCGAATTTGGTCGCACCATGAGGCAAATTTCCCCATAAGGTTAAATGTAAATACGGCTAATCCGCCCTCCAAATTTGGTCGCACCCCGAGGTAAATTTCCCCCATTAAGGTTCAATGTAAATACAGTTAATCCGTTCCGCCCTCCGAATTTGGTCGCACCATGAGGCAAATTTCCCCATAAGGTTAAATGTAAATACGGCTAATCCGCCCTCCAAATTTGGTCGCACCCCGAGGTAAATTTCCCCCATTAAGGTTCAATGTAAATATGGCTAAACAGTTCTGAAACATATGCATTTTATTTTTAAACCTCAAAAACCTTCCAAACGCCACAAAAATCTTCCAAACGCCACAAAACACACCACAAACCTCACCGAACGTCTCCTTGCTACCGCGATCTCGCTCACAGGAAGCCGCAACCGTGTGGCAGCAGGGAAAATGGCTGCGGATCCGGTTCGTAAGTAGAGGCGAGTTCGTAAGTAGA